GGTCAGCTGTTATGGAATATGGTGACCATGTAGCCAGTTGGCTCTACTTGGGACGAAGTGTATCTCTTTGTTTAGAACATGACTTTTGATTCCAGAAAAAGCTCAGTTTGTCTCACCTGGGTCAACAACTGGCCGTATATTTGCTGTCGCCGAGCTGATGCTCAGCTGCACAAAGCTGGCTTACTGTTCAGGGACCTTGGCTTATTGTGGACCCAGCTTGTCACATGATCAGTGACAAGAGCAGCAGCTACCATTATTAGCTTGTGATTCTGTAGGGGGTTGGTGCCTCTGTAGGAGTGAGTCCCCTGAAAGCAAATGAATGAAGATATTAGTTTTAGGAAGAATGCTGGTTGAGTTTTCAAAATCCAACAAGGTCTGATATCTGTGGTGGAGAAGTCAGGCCAGTCGCCACCCCATTTCTCCTGGCCTCTCCCAGCCTGCAGGCAGATGTACCACAGCTCTTTCTCCAGGAGCTGCAGAGCCTTGCCCCAGGGTGTGTGTAGAGCGTTTGTGCCAGACTGGGAAAAGCAGAGCTCGCTCCTGACCTTGAATGTGTCGCAGCCCCTGAGGAAGGTAGTTCCAATTACAGCCACAGAGTTGGAGGAGCCTTTCCAAGGCACATTGATTTATTGGACCAGAAATATAGTACAGCAGTCGCTCGGACTTCTGCCTCTGGCGAGCTGCCCAGCCTGCTTCCTTCTTTCCTGTCCTGTTGTATTGATCTGCATGAGTCGCTGTGGTTTATTGTAGAGGTATGCGTGAGTGCGTGCATGTGCGTGTATTTGTGTGTGTGTGTGTGTGTGTGTGTGTGTGTGTGCGTGTGCATGTGCATGCATCCGTGTGTGTATGTGGTCAAGGTCCCAGTGTAGAGGCTGTTAAGTTGGTACTTCTCCCATGGAGACAGGCCCTGTGCCTTCAGTGGAGGGGATTCTTTTCTGTTTCAAATGTCGGCTTTCATTTCATTCTTTTCCTCTAGGTGAGCCTAGTATGTTCCCATATGCTTCTCCCTCTTTCTGGTCCATTTATGAGCACAGTAACTTGTCATCTTGTAAAGAATGAAGGAAACTTTCTTTGTTGTGTGCCTGTGTGGGGCAAAAGGTCATCCTCTCCATCAGGTACAGAGGAGCAGAGAGTTGTCTGGGCAAGACTTGCCAGAGGCCCAGGGGCAGTGGATTCTCCGGTGGTCTCAGCGGTGGCCTAATCCAGGATGCACCCTCCTGGAGGGCAGGTGGCCAGCCACCAAGAGGGTCCAGATCATAGAGTAATTGTGGAATCTAGAGGCACAATTTCAGTTCCTACTATGAGCCCTACTTTGCTTCTGTCATGTTCATGACGGTGGGTCTTCTCCCTGGTGGTAGCTCCATGTCTCAATAGCAGGTTACTACCTCCTTAGTGGTGTTAGACAACACACTTTTGTTCTCACACAGTCCCAACTGTTTAAGGACTGTTTAAGCCGGGCTGAGATCAGCCGGGCTCTCTGTGTAGAGCATCCAGCCTGAACCCCAGACACTGGTGGACTGCGCCCCTCCCGTCGGCAGGGTGCTGGGGATGTCCACAGTCCCGCTGGCAGCATCAGAGGATCTGAGGCGCACGATTGAGCCCTTCTGTCACCTGGAGGCTGGCAGGAGCTATTTGTCACTTGGGGTTTTGCAGTGTAGCCCGCTTCTTCCTCAGAGAGAGCCAGAAATCCAGAGAGTTCTGTAGATGTGTGTTGTCACCTTATGTGACCCAATTGCCTATGTCTGTATTCGCTTGGATCCTGTGGCTTAGCAGCAATTCACAGGCTGAATTTATAGCCAAGGGGAGGGGATAACACGATACGGGGTCTAAGCAGGGATCATGGGTAGGGACCCTGAGGGCCTGCCTATCATGTCTGTCTTTTCCCTTCTCCTTCATCCTCCCTTCTGCATCTAGACTCCAACTTATGATTTTGCTGGGAAATGAGAGCTTTGAAACCAGGACGCTCATAAGTGATGGCACTTACATTTCAGGTACCAAGTTGGTTTTAAACTTTTTTTATGCTAGTATAATATGTACACAGAAGCTACAGCACCCTAAATGTGCAGCGAACTAGTCTTTAGGGAGCAGAACACATCTTTGTTACTGTACCACAGCTATCACCCTGCATCCTGAGGGCTTCCACCCATGCCCAAGGCCCAAAACCATTGAAGATGAATCCTAAAGACAGCTTTCTATTTTTACTTATTTTATTTTTAAAGATTTATTTATTTATTATATATACAGTATTCTCAGTACTCTGCATGTATGCCTGCAGGCCAGAAGAGGGCACCAGATCTCATTACAGATGGTTCTGAGCTACCATGTAGTCGCTGGGAATTGAACTCAGGACTTCTGGAAGAGCAGGCATTGCTCTTAACCTCTAAACCATCTCTCCAGTGCCCAAGACAGCTTTCTCTAACTTGATTTTACTCATTCCACAAATGGGATCCTGTGGCATAAAGTATTTGTGTCTGGCTTCTGAGACTCACCATAGTACTACTGTGTGTGGATCTAGAGTGCTCATTCTACAGTGTTCACACTGTATTTCAGCACATGCGTGTATACAGCACATGCGTGTATACAGCACATGTGTGTATACAGCACAACCACTCTGTAGTTGATGGCTGTCTGTCTGGATGGCTCAGTTTCCAGTTTAGAGGTGCTATACACAGTGCTACACGCTAGTACAGGTTGAGTACCCTAATCAGAAAATCTAATGTCCCAAATGTTTGGGATAAAACCCCACAATCTGAAGGGCTGGTGGTGCTCGCAAAGGTTCAGGGTTTCCGTATCCCACCAGGGATGCTCACCCACAACAGTCTATGCCAGTGTTCTTAAATCCAGAAAACTGAAAACACTTTGTTCTGGTGTAAGTCTCCCAAGGGGTACCTGCCTGTGTGTCTGGTGTGGATGTGAGTACGTGAACACGTTTCTATTGGTTCTCTACCTAGAAATGAACCCGCTGGGTCAGAGGGCTGTGTGGACATATCTGGAAAGCTACATGAGCTATGACCCTTGCAGCTCCTTGGCAAGGAAAGTATCTTTTTCCTATTTATATACAATAACATTTGAGCCACCTACATTTCTCTGCCGGCTCTGAACAATCAAAGATAATCTTCTTTTATTATTTCATCTGGAGAATTGTTTTGGAAGATCCCTGCATCCTGAGCAGATGCCCTTTGCTCGATATCTTTTAATTTATCTTCTGATTCTCTTGTTTTGGGAAGACTATCTAGACAGCTGTAGAACTGTTGATCTGACAACTTGTGTTACAGAACTGACAAAATTCAAACAAAATTAGCATTGTGGGAAGACTCAGAATGCTAATTTTCTAACCACAGTGTCTTTAAACTTTCCAGAAAAACCTGATCATTAGGTCTGGACCACTGTTAGTTAACTTTTGCTGAGGTTAAACTGTTTTTCAGGCTTGCTATCTTGTACTGCCCCCCCCCCCCTTCTCTCTTTTCTCTCTAAATGTCCCATCCTTCCCCAGTCTGGTTCAAATGCTTTTCTGTGCTACAAGGCCCACTACGATCCCCCTCCCCCCACATCTGGCCCTCCTCCCGCCAGGATAGCCAGATCTCTTCCGGAGCAATAAACCTCACAGGTCGCTGCACCTCTGCTCACTGTCACTGCTGCCGTGTGACATAATGATTTCACCAGGTGAGTTTCCGGTGCACTTGGGGTTCTTAAAGATCTGTGCCTGGGAGGAAGTCTCCCTCCTGCTTGGGGACCCGGACAGCCGTAAATCAGGGAAGGGGAGCGCCCTGACTTGTTTATCCGGGTAAGAGTTTTATGTGCTGAAGTCAGCAAGGGACCTATTTGCCTGATTCATAGCCAATCTGCAGAGCCATCATTTTGAGTAGGGCCAACCCACCCTTCTCAGTGGATTGGCATGAGCTGGGGGGCCTTGGAGAAGTGGGGACACTCTACAGCACCAAAGCCTAATCTTTTCCATCCATCTGGACCAAAAATTGTATCTTTCAATGCTGCGAGGCATCCGGTGGGGAATCTCCAAACAGTGGGAAGTTCTTCCTCACAGAGTTAAAACAGCCCCCCACCCACCCCAGTTCCTTCTGTTAGCAGGAAGGGCCAGCAGCTGCACCTATGAGGTGGGCTTTGGTAAGGAGGTTCCCCACAGGGCCAAAGAACAGCTGGCTGGCCTTGGGCTGGTGTCAATTAGCAATCCAGGTCAAGGCTGGATTGAATGTCTAATAATAAATTACGGTTCATCCTCACCTGGAAATATTAGACAGCTATTAAAAATGTTTCCAAAAGAACTGTTACAGCAAGCACTCAACAGTTTTTGATATGAAGTAAATTCAAAGAACGACAGGTGTAAATCACAAAGAATATTATACCGTATTCTGATGATGTGAAAGACTAATTGGAAATATGAAATGGCAACGTCTGTGCAGAAGCAGGTAGGTGTGAGAATCCCAGGAGCCTTCTGTCTGGGTTACAGCGGGGACAGCTTGGATGGTAGTCTTTAGCCCAACCTGGAGAGGCTGCCAGCACAGTTGTATTTGTTATTAGTGGAACTGACCTGTTTTTGTTTTTTTTTCCTGACTGATAGTGGCAGCCCAACTCACTGCAGAATGACACCTGTTTATGTTGAAATACTTCGTGACAGACAGGGCAGATTTAGCGTCGGGCAAGCAATAGGTGGAGTGCTCTGGTATCAGGAAGGGGTTCCCACACAGCTTCCTGTGAGCCCACTTGCTGTCTGCCGACCAGAGGTTTTGATGGCTTGAGAGGTGAAGCTTTGCTCAGGTCCATCATGTGGGTGACCTTGTCACTGGGGCTGTGAATTTGTTCTCATAGTGACAAGAATATGACAGTCGTTGACTGGGCCTTGGCAGGCCAGCCCTCCATCAGTTTGGGGGAATCTCGTTGACAAGGGGACAGTTGGACCAAGTTCTTCATTTCTTAAGTGGACTGTGTCCAAATGGTATACCAAGTTCCTCCCACCTGTAGTCATACAGAAAAACAATACAGTCTCTGTACAAAACATTGTGTTTAAGAAGACACACTCAGATAGTACAGGCGAAACTGCTCAATGTGACTCGGGCCCCGATTCATACGATGGCGCCTTGTTAACACAGTCGCCTCCCGTGGCATCCTTCTGAGCAGCATCTCGGGCAGGTGGCCTGGTAGGCGGCTCAACAGTGCAGGGCAAACTCTTCTCCCCCGGTCAGAGCTGGTCCCGCATCACAGGCCCTTGAGGTCCCTAAAGACCGTGTGGGCTGCATTCCGTCCAGCTGCTCCCATGACGCCTCCTCCTGGAACCAAAGCCCCTTTCAGAAACCCACCAGAAAGGGACAGGGCGGGGCTCAGAGAGCAGCCACAACTAGAACAACCACCACACTGTCTGGGCTCCCTGCAGCCGTCACACACAGCTGGGGAAGGGCAGGCTGTGGTCACATTGGCCTCCTGTTCCTCAGTCTGCCAGACTACAGGGAGGCACCTAGCAGTGTAGTATGGAAAGCTGAAATGTAGGAATCGGGGGTGGGTAGGGGGTTAGACAGAGGCCACAGCTCTTCATGGGAGGCCTTGGCCACAGCTCAGAGAGGGTGTCACCAGGAGATGACAGTTGCAAGGAAGTCAGGTAGGCTTGGAGTTGGCACAGAAAAGAATTTCTAAGTAGAGACACATTACCAATCCTTCCTGGTCTCAAATATGGGTGAGGAATTAAGGAATGTGAGTCTCCCACAACCCCTGGAGGAGTTGCCTCTGCCCTCCATCAGAGCGTGTCCCTACACCTAGGGAGGAGGTGTGGACCAAATGCTGAGGGTTGTGACAGCCTGGCAGAGATACTGTTGTGTGCTTACCCTGTTTCCCACATCCCCTCCTCTGTCTGCCAGCTTACTACCTACCGCCCTCGCCCCATAAGCCCTTGTAGCCCACACAGGAAGTAGGTCACTCACCAGGGTGGGCCCCACTTCCACAGAGGTACAGGCCCTGAACAGGACATCTGTAGCCAGAGTGTTGGGGCACTGGACGGGCAAAGTAGAGCTGGTCCAGGGACATGGCGCCATGAAATATGTTCTGTGGAGGTAGGGCTACAGTTGTTAGCATAGGGGTGCTATGGGCTTTGCCATCCTGGCTGGCTCTTCCTCCCTCTATTCTCCAACCCAGTTCCTCCTGCTTCTGGATATTTCCCTGGGTTCCTAACTGAGGGTGAGAGAGGAGAGGGGCTTGTCCTGGTCTATGGATGAAGTTCCTATGGTGCTTTATTGGGAAGAGAGAAAAGTAGGGGCCTCTATAGAGTGTAGGGGGACATTCTGAGGGTTTGCTATAGACCATGATCCCCTGAGTCTATTGGGAAGATGGACTTGCTCTGTTGGCACAGGCTCCTGATGAGGCATGGGTCTTTGGATAGCCACCATCTCCACCTGGCCCTGAGTGCCCCACCCCTACACCTGTTCCATGGGCATCACTGTCCACAGCAGACTTGGCACAGTGGGACCTGGTTCTGCTCCCTTGGGCCAGACTGTTCTAGAAAGGCAGTGGGTATCCATCTGCTAAATGTCACCACGGGCTGTTCTTGCTGTCTCCTCCCCTGGTCCCCATGTGAACCACTTCCTCCCCAACCCTGCCCCTCTCAAGCCATCCTGCCTTCATGACCACACACTACCCTCCCTTCCTTGGCTTCTGGTTCAACCCTCAAGTCATGTCCACCCTCCGGAGCAGACTGTTGCCAACAGTTCTCCCCCATCCCCACCTCACGTTGATCAGCCACACAGCCTGTGAAGTCCCTCTCCCTCTCCCTCCCACTGCCTGGCATTTTGCCTTCTGTCTGGACCAGTCCTGTCAAAACAGAAACCGAGCATGACCAAAGCCATGCGTGCAGTTTTAGATTTGCTAGGAGCCACGTAAGAGGCAAACTGGTGACATTTTTGTCAACAGTGTATTTTATTTATCTAGTAGGCCACAAATCTGATCATCTTGGTACATAATCAATGTAACAGAACTAACATGATGGCATCCACGCTGGGTTTCCCACTGATGTGTATCACACACCACTCAGCTCACTCTGGCTTTCTCAGGCTTAGCAGTGGCTGTGGCTGTGGGGTTGGAGCTGCCTCCTCATGGGACTTCCTGATCCTCACGGAACTCTTTGGCTCATCAGAGGCTCCCAGGCTCCTAGCTTCTGGCCTCTTGTCTCCTTTATCTGGTAAGTAAAGCTCACTACAAGAACCTGTTTCCTTAGGGAGGGAGGGAGCTCTCTTTAGAAGAGGCTGATGGGGAAGTTGGGGTAGAAGTGCTACAGGCCTGGTGACCTTCTCAAATGGCACCTGTGTGTCTGTGTCTCCTGTCCCCACTCAGCCATGGGCTCTAGGACTTCCTAATGAAGTCCAGGTAAAGCCCAAAGGAGCCAGTTAGGAAGGCAGGTAGGAAGTTGAAAAGAAGGAGTCCACTCACCCCTCCAGGAAGCCCAAAGATTCTCTCTAGATCCGGTGGGGTGAGGATATCTCTGGCCAACACAGAACTCTTGAAGCCGGGGGCATAGGCCTCAATGCAGTCAAACACTGTGGTGCCCAGGGAAAGCATTGGGAAAAGAGCAGACAATAAGGTTGACTCATGAGTTTACTAAAATCTATTAAATTATTTGAGTCATGGGTTTATTTTATCCTATGCAAATTATATACCAGCAAGTAAAAAACACAATGAAAAATAGTCCATAAGCAAATGCTTTATCAAAGAGGCCCATGGCCAGTCGAGCCTCGAGCTCTAATTTCTTTCCCTGACCCAAGCACGAGGCTACTGTCGCTGCCTGAATATGTGAAGAATTTTTCTTCTCATTGCTTTGCCCAAGCTGTTTCTTTTGCTCGAAACATTCTTTGCACTTGGACCAATCCCCATTCATCGAACACTGAAAATCCAGTTCAATGTTTCTTCTCTTGAGTGCCTTCCTCATTCTGACTCCTAGCTTCCTCCTTTGGGTTCACAAAGCACAATGGGCCACGGTGACCTGTTCCCTAGTTAGTCTCCCCCACTGGCCTCTGAGCAACTGGAGGGTAGGAGCAGAGTCTTTTGCTTTCTAAAAAATTCTATGTATTATTGAGCGTGTGTGTGCGTGTGTATGTGTGTGTGGAGGTCAGATAACAACTAACTTTTGGGTGTTGGTTTTCTCCCTCCACTGAATGGTAGATTACCAGGCTCTCTGGTTATTAGGGTTGTCCATGGCCTTGACCTGCCTAGTCATCTCTCTGGCCTGGGACCCCATCCTTTTGACTTTCTTAACCTAGTGCCTGATCTCAGCCAACATTCACCATGTCGATATAAGGTCACCTTGGGCACATGTTTTCCCTTGGGACAGTACCTGCAGAATTTAGCCTGGATGAGGTTGTGTGTGTGTGGGAGGGAGGGTGCCCATTGGATCCCACAGACAGCTGTCACCCTGCAGAGCAACCTGTGTTGCATTCCTTACCTTTGTCTGCATAGGTGTTTTTCTCCTGCTCATCCCAGGTCTTGCCTCCTGCCAAGGTGTAGGGTGTGTATTGAGTAAAGAGGGAGACCACATGGCAGCCGGGCGGAGCCAGGGTGGGGTCCAGTGAGGAAGGGATGCAGAGTTCAATCATAGGCCTGCGATGAGAGGGATATGAGAAGAGGATACGATAGAAGCAGAGAGGGTCAGGGCCACTCTGATGTGACACGAGACAAAATGAAGGCCCTCAGAGACCACTGACCAGGGCTGATTATCACTGTGAGACCACGGTGGTTAGCACAGTCCAGACCACCTCTAGAACCACAGTCCCAGATTCCAGGTCTGTGTTTTTTTATCACCTGGCTCAGAGGTGTGGTCGGGTTTTGTCTTCTTTCCCCTAGACCTGTGTTCTAATCTGGGCTCTCCAACTCAAATACTACCAGGGTCTAGATAGTGAGCACCATGGAGGAGTCAGGCCCAACTCAGCAGATTCTCAAGTGGCCAGGGTCCAACCAAGCTTGTCCCTCCTCTCCTGGCCCAGGAACCTTATCTGGAATAGGCCAAAGCAGAGCATCTAGACCTACCAAACCATCACAGTATGGTGCCCTTGTCCAGCCTATCACCTTTTCTACCTGAAGCATAAGTCCTCAGATCTCTAGATAGCTTTGGTCCTCTGTGCATTCTCTAACCACAGATAAGAAATACTACAGAGAAAGTGAAGACTGTGCCTCACAGAACGCGCTGACTTTTCCCTTGGCAACATTCCACAGACAACATTGCATGGCGGCCATTTACCCAGCACCCACACAGGCATTTTTAAGTCCTCTAAAGATGACTGATGAGCTGCAGGGGGATGTGAGGTTAAACACAGGCTCTGCCATTTTACAGAAGGAACCTGAGCACCACAGTTTTGGTAACTATGGGCTTGGAGGTAATGGAACCATTCCCAGACCGCATGGCATCTTTCAAGGTCATGGGAGATGCCCTTTCTCAGGCTGGCATCCTTCAGCTGCACGTCTCACCTCAGGTATCTGCCAGCCTCTCTGGTCGCTGTCTAGCATCCTCTCAAGCCTCCCAGAAGCTTCTTCCTGTCTCATGATTGTCCAGTGGTTCCTCTCTCACACACCACTTCCTGTCCAACAGCAAACCTCACCCACTTTCTCCACTTTACCCTTAAAGCACGCCCAGTACTTGGACACTGTCTATCACTCTGCTGGGTCCACCCAGGTCGCGGTCCCCGTCCTGTTGCTCTCAGAGTCTACATACCCAGTGCAACAGGCTTCCTCTCTTTTTGTGCACTTTGGTGGGAAGGCTTTCCTTGAGTGGACAGTGCCTGGCCAGCCGCTGTGGCTCTGCACCTCCACTATGGCCTTGTCTCTGTTCCCAGTGCAGAAGCACATCCCTGCCCTGGGGCTTTTGCACTTGCTCTTCTCTCTAGGTGTTGTTCTTCCTCAGATGCTCACACGACCTGCCTTGCTTCCTCCAATTTACTGCTCAAGTGTCACAGCATCAGAGGGGCCTTCTTTAAAAAGCAGACTCCCCCCACCTCTTTCCCCTTAGTGCTTGTTGTCCGTGCATGATGTTGGCTGTTTTGTAGCCAGCAGAGGCCAGCACAGAGGCGGAGATCTCGTGGGTATCTCTTTCAGATCCGACAAAGAGTAGGTGCCTGGGGGCAGCCTAGCATCTCTCATCTTATGCTGTGAGTTCTTTTTTTCTTTTTAAATTTATTCTGTAGACAGTGTTCTACTTGCATGTGTCCCTGCAGGCCAGGAGAGGGCACCAGATCTCATTACAGGTGGTTGTGAGCCACCGTGTGGCTGCTGGGAACTGAACTCAGGACCTCTGAAAGAGCTGTTAATGCTCTTAACCTCTGAGCCATCTCTCCAGCTGCCATGCTGAGAGTCCTCTTGTACCAGGCTTATCATAAACTTGTGTCTGCTTTCCATCCCAGGCCCCACAACCTGCCCGTGTGGAGCCTGGCACAGAGTAGGATCCCAGAACATGTCTGTTGACCGATATAGAGGATGAAGGGAGTAGGAGGCCCCACAGAGGCCTGCTAGCCATCTACTCTAAAGGATGGAGACACAGCTGGGGTGGGGGTGCTTTTAGGAGCGTGGGTGAAGGGGCTCCTCAGACATGCATTAGGGGCTAAGTGAGCATGTCTTCTGCCGAATCTTCACTGTACTTGAGCACTCCCTTCTCTCGCCCAGTAGTTCCTCCTCTTCTCAGTTTGGGTGTGCTCTCCTTGGGACTGCCCTCCACTAACCTGGGCTCCCCAAATGCCCTGCTCCTCTTCTCCGCTGTTCTGACTTCCAGATTTCTTGTCTGAGACACTTTGTGTTCTTAGAATATGGAGAGACTTTGACAGATTGATCTAGGGTCATTGAAGGTTTAGTGCAAGGGAGAAGAGGTCAAGCCCCTGCCTCAGAACACACAGGGACATAAAGGCCATGTCTCACCTACCTTTGGGAAGGCAGGCCACCCTTGGCATCTTCAAAGGCCTGGTGGAGGAGCAGGGTGTCTTCACAGTTCAGGTGGATGGAACACTGATGATGTGGCTGTATCTGGTCCCTGGGGACATTGGGGGCCGCACGGAAGTTTGGCAACCTGTCCACAGCCACTGAGGAGCCAAAAGGTCAGGTTAGGTCCCCAGACTTGCAGGGTCCTCCCTCTGTAGTGACAACCTGCTTGTCCAGGTAATGGGCCAGAAGTCAAAGATGTCAAGTTGGGGGTCATGGCAGGGAGAGGTCGGTGTGGCTGGGTTTTCCTGACTTAGAGATTCCCACATAGATGCTGTCAAAGGCAGATGTGATCAGCCATCTCTTACCTTTGATCTTGGTAACCGGAGACTGTGTGTCCAGCTGGGAGATCCTCTTCACAAAGGCCTTGGGAAGCCACTCCTGGAAGGAGAGAGCTCTATGAAAGGCTTGGGGGAGCCAAGGCCCAGAGAAGCTACCTAGACTGTCAGTCCTCCAACCGCTGCCTAAAGAGATCCTCTTCTTCCTTCAGAACTCAGCCCCAAACCACCTGCTCTGTGAGAACCTCCTGGAGTCCCCTCATCACACCCTAGTCCCTCTGTTTCTCCCCACCCCCGCACCAGGCTAAGCATTTCTTCCTTGCTCACCCGCCCCCCCCAGTCCTCCTGTTTCTCCCCCCACCAGGCTAAGCATGTCTTCCTACACTTGGCTCATTGTCCTGACTGGGAACAGCTCTCACCACGCCCTGCTTGGGACAAGGATAGACATCTCTATGCATCTTATTCTGCTGCTGCAGAATTGCCTTAACAATATGCACTGAGAGTTGTTGACTTCTGTGAGTGGACATATTCAGAGACAGTCATGCTTTGTCCCCAAGGGCAGGACCACACATGGGTGAGACTGCGCACTCACACACACCTTATCTATCTTTCGGGGACAGGGAAGGTATGACCGACGTCCCGAGCCTTTCCTGGGTGCAAGCCCCTTTCCATGTTTCTCCACACTATCTTCCACCTCTGTCCCACTCACACTCGACCCCCTAGACAGGCTGGGAGATTTAGCCAGTGTCAGTGAATAAAATGGATCCAGATCAAACAATCTGGAGCTTGCCTCTGCCAGGCCGGAAAACATGCTGGTGTTCCTGTGCCAGAGGTCACAGAATCTGAACCAACCACACAGGCAGCCAGTTCTTCCCAGTCACAGAACTGAGTCCAGTCAAGACCGGCAGAGCCACAGCCACTGCAGGTGACAGGCAAGGGGCAGCAGCAACTCAGTCAAGATCAACCAATTTCTCTGTCTATGAGCTAAGGTCATACCTGCCCAGAAGTTTTATGGCGGTGCTAAAAACAAAACAAAACAAAACCTCCCAAACCTCCATTCCCAGCACTGATATTGCAATAGATCACTTGCAGATGGTAGAATCAGAGACAGCGAGAGGGGGAAATCCAAGTCTAGGTAGTAGACAAGTCTTAAGAATGATAAGGCCAGACCTGGGCTCTGGCACTAGCCCGCCCTGCTGCAGGCTGTGCGGTCTAGGTCTTCTCACTCTGAGGCTTCTCTACTGTCTGTAAGCTGCTGACTTTCTCAGAGGAGGAGGCTTAGTCCTCGGGTCTCCTCTACCCTGACCCGCCTCACCTGTGGCGTCAGCTCCAAGAAGGTGATCTGTGGTGGCGCGCAGGATAAGACGACTCTGCTCCTGACCTCCTGGCCATCCTGCAGTACGACTCCTTGAACCTGGCCTTCACTGTTCACCTGTACCTTAGCCACAGTCTGGAGTCCCAGCAAGAGACCCCAAAGCCCCCAGAAGGAAGCCCAGGTTGAGAAGTGTGGGGGGGTGCAGCTCGTAGGCACCCGATCTTCCTCACCACAAACCCATGCCCCAAACCAAAGAGGTTTCCCGGGGAACAATGATGCAACCCACCCACCGTGGAGCACAGTTCACGCATGGTTTCATGACTGGTGCACTTGAAGGGTTTGCCAGAATACTGGGCCTAGAGACAACTGTCGGCTGCCACCGGCCCTCAGAGGTGTAGAGCTCAGATCATCAGTAATTCCGGGATCTCTCTAAACCTGAGACTGCTCTAGGCCACAGCCGGGCCAATAGTGAGGGTTGGGGAATAGGATCCACACCTTTTCCGTGAAGATACTCGCTCCATGCGCAGTAGCTGAACTTGCAATGGCATCTGAGAGGGCACCCATGCCACCCTGGACATAGCCCCAGGCGCCCTGCGTCCCCTCCAGGCTACCCATCACGTGATGCAGCAGCACATACCTGAGGGCAGAGCACGGGGCTGAGGTGGGAGCCTGTCTTAGATTCAGACGCCAATGTCCCTTTTCTGTGGTGCCTTCTTCCCAAGCCAGCCCCTTCCCTGAGCTCAATGCCCTGCCATCTCATGCCACACGCTCCCCCTGTGCAGGACTGTGTATGTGACAGGACTCCAGGCTCCATGTGCTGCAAGCATCACTCCAGGTACCTGCCTGTGCCTACCTCCTGTGGGCATCTTCGTGGGCACATGTCTGGCATGCATGTTACACCCAGCACCTTCACCATTCTCTAAGCTGCTCCTTTTTGGCATCCCATTTGGCATCCCACAAATGAAGGACACTTTCAGGTTCCGGCAGAACCCCCTGGTGTCATCTTGCCCATGTGTTGACTGAGCCGTGACTAACTGCCCCTCTCCTCCAGACACAGGTAGACCATGGTCACTAGCGCTCCCCAGCACTTGCTCCCCTGGAGGCCGCCCCTTGTGTGCTGGTCCCAGAGTCAGATGCTCTTGTCAATCTTCCTTTCACGGCCTTTGCTGCAGTGTTGCCTGAGGGAGGCCTGTCTCATCTGGTGGTGTCTGTCCGTGGCTCTGTCCTACCAGGCTCCCTCACACTGCACACCCCTCCTAGGCCAAGTCCCTTTGGTGGCAGGAACGGCGCACTTGTCCACTCCAGCCTCTGTACCTCCTGGGCCACCACCTGGAACCTCTTCCATCTTTTTCCAGCCAGCCCTTCTCTTCCCTTTGTTTCAGATCAGCCAGTTCCTGCTTCTTGTCTTTTTTACCGCAGGGCAGTTTTCCCTGCTGACCATATCAGAACACCACAATTCATGGTTTCTGCTGCCTCTGGGTCTCTCTTCTGGGAGGATTTCTGGTTCCTTGACTACTGTGTCTCCATCACCCAGCCTAGGCAGGTGCTCATCAGGACTTAAGTGAAGCAATGGATTCTCAAAAGCACGTGTTTCTCAAGCTGGCCAGTGGCTCAGCTTCCCTAAGACCCCTGATCCACCCTGGCTGGTTAGTCAAGAGCTTGGCAGAGTGCAGCAAATGCTGCCGTGCTGCTGATGCTTCTCCTGGGGAACTCAGGATTGGCTTGACCTCTGTTGAAAAGTCACTTCCGGGGGGTGGATGCTTTCATCCTGGGGAGATAAGTCTCACTGACAACTCTAGCTGCATCTTAGGAGTTTAAACCACAACCATAGCCCTCACTGTGTCTGACTGCCACTCTCCACTTGGGCTCTAGGCATATCTGCTCACAGAGCGGGCAGCTTCTCATCCTGGGAGGAAGCTGGGTGAGTATGCAGCAAAGGAGAGGCGTGGATGGGAGGAGGAGAGAGGCAGAGCAAGAGGGGGACAGAAGATACTGATAGCAGGAAGAGGTTTTTTTTTTTTTGGAGATGCGTGGAGAAGAGTAGCTAAGAAGGAATTCTGGGGTTCAGACAGAATGTTCTAGAAGCCAGCTCTGTCTCTTACTAGCTTTGTGACTTTGGACAGGACACTTCTCTGACCTCCAGTTTTCAGATGTGACTTTGAGAGTCCATTCAACACGCATGATATGCCGAGCTTCCCGCCTGATACACTAGCTGAGCTTAGAAAATGGCTATCTGTGAGCTTCCTCTCATTAGGAAGTATGTTCCCCTCTAGCAGCTCCCCCCTGCCCCTACTCACCCACTCCCTGGAGTGTGGGGACTTGTCATGGCTCCAATCACAGCATCTGTTGCCAGCGTAGCCTTTAGAGGCTCAGACTCAAACCAGAGGTCCAGCACCTGGAGAGCAAAGCCACAGAAAGGCTCAAGGGCCTGGGTGGCAGGAGAGATCCCTGGGCCATCATCTGGCCACACTCACCTTGGAAATGGGGGCTGTGAGGACCTGGTAGTACTGGGGGAGCTGGGCTCCCAGGGTGCGCCCTGAAAGAGAAATATAAAGATCAAGTGAGACAGGCCTTGAGGAGACTTTCCCATTACCTGGAAAAGAACAGGGAGAGGCAGAAACTTGGAGACAGCGTGACATTCAAGGGCAGTGTGTGCTTTTCACCCCTTACAAGGCTTTGGGCCCCTTTTAACTATCTTAGCTCTGAGCCTATTTCTCTGTGAGATGGGAGACATGTTTCATATGCTACTGTAAGGGTAATATGAAATAGGAAAGACCTGTAATTTCATGGGCACCACTTACGTTTTAGCAGCAGGACAACAATCTGGCCATTGTGGCCCCTTTGCATTATCTTAGCGGCTTGCAAAAGTAGTTGCTTAATAAATAGTTATCATATGAATGCATGAAGCTCCTAGGACTGGCAATCTGAAAAGGAGCCTAGTTTTGGTGTCGATGACAAAGTCCACTCCCTCCCTCCATATCCAGACTCTGCTGTATAAAGTCGGTGGTAACCACCCAGTGTGGCTGGCTGACTACTCTGTACTCAGGGCTTACCCGTGGGCTCGCCAGCCAATGGAAAATTTACAAGTGTGTCAGATTTGCTCCCTGTGCATCTCCATCTGTGAAGGAAGTACATGCCCAGCATAGCGTGCTGCGTCCGCACACAGGATGAGACACACTGCTGGCACCGCTGGCTGCCCTCAGCCACAGACGCGCGCATGAGAACAGACCAGCCCAACTGAGCCTGCTGGGATCAGCTGAACTACAAAGACCCTTGGGAAACAAATGTTGACTTTTAGAAGCCAAAGGATTTTTGTGGGGTTTCTTTTTCTTGTGACCATAGCTAACTAATTCCTTATTTTCCTAGGATATGGGGATTTGTCTGTGTGCCCAAAGGGTGGCAGAGAAGAACAGCAAGACTCCTTGATCAAGCTTCTATCGCAGACCCACGGCAGACCTCCCTAATTGGACGCAGACCTTTCATTATGTTTGCTCTAAATTTAGTATTCTTTCTCATTTGGAGGCAACCCTTCAAATTCTCCGGGCTCTTACATCATGTTCTAGCTGTGGCTGTGGCAATGAACTTCCTGCTTTGATCTGCAGCACACATGGGAATTCCTACAGCATTAAGCGAAGGCCTCTGTGAGACGTGCCTTTCCTTCATCCACAGATGCGTGGCTCCTCCAGCACCACGTCAGTTCATCTGCAGATGCATGGCCCAGAGGTCACTGTCTCAAGAGGGAACCCCTGACTGGTGGGGGACAAGGCCCCTTCCTTCTCTTGGACACAGTCAAGGACTGACATACCTTTTATAAAGTACATTCCTCAGAGAGTCCCAGAGGGACCAGTGTCTTATTGCCCATCATACATGACCAGTGCCAACGTGCACCCTGGTATGGGTGTTCCCATGAAGAGGTTTGAATACGATATTCCCCCTCTAGGCTCACGTATTTGAACACTTCTTCCCAGTTGTTGGCACTGTTAGGGGAGGTTATGGGACCTTTATGAGGTGGAGCCTTACTGGAGGAAGTACATCACTAGGGGTGGGGCTTAGGAATTTATAGTCCCTCCTTTCTTTCAGTTCGCATTCTCTGGTTCTGCATGTTCTACAGGATGTGATCTGCCAGCTTCCTGCTCCAGCCACCCGCTGTCATGCTGTCTTTATCATTATGGACTCTAACCCTCTGAAACCTTAAGCTAAAATAAACGCTTCCTTCCTAAGTCACTTGGTCATGGCGTTTCATCAGAGCAACACAAAGTAACTGTGTACTCTGGAATTTCTTCCTTCATGTTCTCCTCTTTTGAAGCCTCGGGGTCACCCTTCTAAGCAAACACAACCCTTTGCCTTGGGCCCTGTTTTTAGGGTTGGGGAATTTGAAATTTTGGGGGGAGTCTCTGACAGCCTCTGTGATCCGTGGTCTATTAGCTGACTACACCTGTGTCCAGCCACTCAAAACTCAGGTGGCCAAGCTCTGGCCTACAGAAAAAAAAAGCCCAGGATCAGGCCACAAAATCCTACCAATTTCTGAGCTTGTCCCAAGGATAGGCCACAAAATCCCACCAATTCCAGGAACTCCACCCACCAAGAAACCATATATAAAGCCTGCCTCCCCGTAAATCTTCGCTACTTCTCACCTGAGCAGAGACAGCCACCTTCTTGTATTTCTCCCAATAAATTTCTTATGTGAGGTTTGTTGTGTGGTGTGACCTTGTAATATTCCTTGGCTCCTGACAGCCAGAATACCTTTCTCCTCATAGCTGTAACACTTACACTGGTGGCTGTCCTGGAGCTTCAAGCTTCTAGGCATTCAGAAAGTGGGCTTGTTCCCATGAAGGCCACTTTCCACACCCTGATGCCCGTATTTCGGACTTACCTGCCTTCAGCAGGGGCCTCAGGGTGGACAGCGCCCTGAGTCTCTGTAGCAGGGAGCCATGCTGGAAGGCTGCTGTGTCCACTGGGATCGCATCCAGCAGGGGGTCGATGGCCAGCACCAAGCGTTTCATGAACTCCTCGTACCTGGGAAAGGCCTGCAACAGAGTTTTAGGTAAGCGTTCCACAATCCAGGATTCCACAGGATACTGTCCCATGCCTGGTCCTTCGGGCCACACTTTCATATGACTGCCATACCCCACAGTGGAGCCCCATGGTTCCTTGGGCCACATCCCTAGCTGTGGCTCAGCTTGGCTCTGCTTGGCTCTTTCACTTCCAGGTGTATATGCCACACACAAAGGGCAGAGCATCCTGTGCATTAGAACAGCCACCAGGGCCAAGGGCCAGTGTGGGCCAACACCAGCCACCTAAACTGTCAAGTGTCTGAGGGTGCGGGTACAGGCCCTGTGAGAACACCATTTAGAAGCTCCATGTCCTCTGTGACAGGTGGAAGGCCGATGTTCCCCCGGCATGCTGACCACTTCTTTCTTCTCTCAGTCTGACATGTAGCCTCATCCCACACAGCCACAGAAGCCTGTATCCTCTTAGTCAGCAGCCCCCAGCAGGGCTGTTCACAGCCATGTTCCGGACTCTGCCTTCCTGTCATGGGCTGGTAACAGGAACAGGCATGGAAGTTGCCACCACCAGAGCTTCTTACGGATTCTTAGCCCAGGAGCAGGTATCTGGGCTCAGCTAGACATATGGATAAACCCAGGAAATTGTGGTATTACATAAAGTTCTGTAGTAAAGAACTTCTTAAAAATCGTAATCAAACCATAAGGTTTTCCCTAGGCAAGGCTTGCAAAATGGCCACTTTGAAGCACACAACCATAAGCTGAGGTCCTTAGGCTCCTTGGGGAATGTCCCAGGTCTCCCACATGTGGTCACTAGCAGGTAGGCACACAGGCAGTGGGCCCTGGCCTTATGCTGATGTCCACGGTGTGTCTGATACTGGCAGGATTTGGGCAAGGGTAGAGATGGGTCCTCAGCTCTCTGCGTTGGATATTCCTGGTGACAAGAGGACAGTTCCAAGGTCAGCCAGCTGCTATGATCTCCATCCCTCCTAGGCTCAGGTGTGGGGATGAGGTGGCACTGCTCGGGCGGGCGAGGACTTGGGACTGTTGCGCAGGATGTGGGGCTTACAGGCAGGCTCTGAGGGCTACAGGCAGGCTCTGAGGGCTACAGGCAGGCTCTGAGGGCTACAGGCTGACTCTGAGGGCTACAGGCTGGCTCTGAGGGCTACAGGCTGGCTCTGAGGGCTACAGGCTGGCTCTGCTTCCACTGAGCTCTCCCTGACAGCCAACAAGAAACAACCAGCACCTCCCACTCCTGCCACCACGGCTGTGAGCTGCTCCCGCCATCACAAACTGTTCCCTCTCAAACAAGCCAAATAAATCCTTCCTCCTTGAAGCTGCTTCTGGTCTGTATTCTGTCACAGCCTCAAGAGCAGCAGCTAACACAGCCAGGCTTAGGATGCTCTGGGAAAGGGGCGAGGGCTGCATGCCTGTGACTGGGCTCCGTCCCGTGCTAGGTTAGCACACTAGAAGGCAAGTGCATTGACAGCACGAATCTAGGTTTCCTTCATAAAACATGCCTCCCCTGAGATAGGATCCTATGCCACACCTGCAGCTGGCACCCGGGCTGTTACGAGAATGGCCCATTCTAGAACATTTCCTCAGCTGCAGAACCCTCCATACCAGACCCATTGCGTCACCCGCTGACTCATCTGGACAAAGTCAACAGACTTGTCCCTGAGCTGGGTCTGCAGGAAGCGGCTCGCATTCTCCATCTGGTGTGTGTTGGGAGGCATATCTGCACACCACCACAGACACTTCCCTGCTTTGGCTGTCATGGATTGATGTCCAAGTGAAAGAACACTTTCTTGTCCTAAGTTCTTCTTGTGGGCTTTCATGGGCTTTTGGATGGGTAACACGTGGGGTTCTGAGTGAAAGCAGAGGGAGGAGGCATTCCTGGGATTCCTGTATGACACGCAGCATGCAGAGACCACCTGCTCAGCAGCTCCAGAGGAGTACATGCCGGCTCTAAGAGTCCCAGTGTCAACTGGTCTCAACCATTATCCACCACTCTGTTCAGCCCCCACAGCCTTGACATCCACTTCCTCCCAAGAGCCTGCTCTGGGTTGCTGAGGGAGGATGTAGTCCCGCTCGCCTTCCCTACCTGGGCATCCTTCTGTGAGAACTGAGAGATTTGCTTCTGGTTTCCAGCCATGTCTGTGCCTAGCAGCAGGGACCTAGGAGCCTTGCTCAGTGCACCCTCTTCCAGCATGGGGGTGAAGGAGTAGGGATTTCGGAAGTGAAGCCTTAGCCCATGCTTCTGCGGAACACAAAAAGCGCAGACATTATAGGGATGCCTATTTCCGCTCCTGCCCTTTCTCCAACCCCATTTGTGTGATCCGTTAGGGATGCTTGTGATTCATCCCAAGTTGTACAGACCTGGTTCCTATATTTTTAAAAGACATCATAAGTAACCCCTTTGCCCAGACACCCACTGATAGACCGATGAAGCTGTGCACCCTTCACCTGCACCCCATACTGTAACATGTCATACCACCCCGCCCATGCACACAAACATTACTCGTATATAAAGTCACTACTACGCTTCAGCTCTAGAGACGCTGTTACCTCTCCACACACAAGGAAAATTCAGAGGAGGTAAATAATTTGTCCCATGCCACTTTAGAAGGTAGATCTGTATTTTAAAACCACATAGCTACGATTCCCAGGAACTGGGACCCTCATCTATAACTGTCTCCCCTCACTTCAGAAATAAATAAGTAAACTTTAAAACTAAACAATAAAGCAACAGTTGTGTGAAAATCCATATAGACAAGGTAGATAAATTCACATAATTTAAAAAATTTACATGGCAGTCTAATTTGCTACAAGGTCACTTTAAGAGGAAGTTCCCTTGATGCATTTAAATCCGGACTTGATTTACGGATGTTTCACCAGCACACAGAACTTTCTAAAAGCACATCTACTTCTTCAAAGGAGCCATGCAACTACAGACTGCACTAACAACAGGACTGACTGTGGCCGAGCCAGGCCAACTACAGACACCGTGTGTCACCATCAGCGGGGCTGACTGTGGCCGAGCAACTACAGACACCGTGTGTCACCATCAGCAGGGCTGACTGTGGCCGCCTTCTGGGCACTTCTTTGCCCTGACCCATGCCTAGTCCTCCAGTTTGACTGTACTCAGATACTGCCTATCAACAAGTCCCACCCTGGCCCCGGCCACACTGGCAGGCTCTCTGCCCCCTTAACCTGATTTTGCCCAAAATACTGGCCGTCATGTGGTTAATTACACATACATTTGTCCCCGTCTCTCTGAGTGGAACACAAATACTTTTGGGGTGGGGACACCGCCTGTTTTGCCACTGTTGTGCCCCTCATATGGCTTGGCACACTAATTGTTCTGGTGCCAGGATGTTGCTGACAAGATAGTGCCTCAGAGGATAAAAGCAAGAAAGCAAAAGAATACCTTATCAGCATCCCAGGAGATGCTCAAGCCAGAGTTTTTCAAGTGGACACCATCACCCAGGCATGGGGATTCTACAGAGGAGAATCCAGTGTGGGTAGGGGCGACTCTGGGCTTTTTTAAAGCATTAAAGTTGAGAAATCTTTATCCCAGGTTGGAGTGACTTTTTCCTTGAACCCTCTTTTTAAAATTTAATTTTGCTTAATACCAGTATTGTGTGTGTGTCGCACCTTGTGAGCCAGGGGCCCTGTGGAGGTCAGAAGAGGGCATCAAGTGTTCTGAAACCGGAGTTACAGACGGTGGTGAACAGTCGTGTGCTGGGGGTTGAAGCCAGGATCTCTCTAGGAGCAGGAAGTGCTCTGAAGAGCTGAGCTAGCGCTCCATCCCCTGCCTTGGTTCCTCTCAACTTGATGGACTGTTCAACTGTGAGGAACACTCAGCTGCTCCCTTTTCCTCAGCACCGACAACTCTTATATTGCTAAATCTCATCAGCCATCTGCAGAGGCTGTCCACTCCTCTCCAGCCCTCATCACAGAGTGCCATCTTGTGGTCCAGGGAGCAGCTGCCTCCAGTGCCTATGAACCTCCATGCCATCTCCACGTGCCCAGGGGTCTAATTTTCCATAAACTATAAATCCCAAGCTCTGCTTCCTGACTAAACTCTCCTGCCTGGATGAAACGCAGTCCTGGTGTGAGCTGCCCGGCCCCTGGCCCCTGCATCCCCTGTGTACTGGGCTGCTCCAGCCACAGGGCCTGTTCTCTGCTCAGACTTGCCCTGCCTACCTGTGCATTCTCTAACCAGAGCCCTCTCAGATCAGAAGTCCACGTGATTAGTGACGCCTTGTTTGAACATCAGTTCACCTGTCGTCCTTTCAAGGCGTTCCTGGTCACCAGGTGAGGGTGGGACTGTGCATCCTATCATTGTCTTCCGTTTTCTTCCTGTCACTCATCAGCTCTACTTAAAGCTCCCCTCCTGTGTATCACTCCTCACTGTACCCCCTGTGTATCACTCCTCACTGTACCTCCTGTGTATCACTCCTCACTGTACCTCCTGTGTATCACTCCTCACTGTACCTCCTGTGTATCACTCCTCACTGTACCTCCTGTGTATCACTCCTCACTGTACCCCCTGTGTATCACTCCTCACTGTACCTCCCCGCAGCCTCGTTCTGGGCTCGGCACAAAGCAGGCACCAGAGGAACATTGAACAAACCAGTCGATAAACAGCCTGAGGAAACTGTGTTATTTCAAGTGTAACTAATTGAACATGGATGATGATGATATATATATATCAATTGATTCTAGGGCTTCTAAATGGTACCTCTGTCATTCCTGACTGGCCAGTTATGAGAAGGAAGAAGGAAGAGAGAGATAATGCTAAACCACCTCTGGGATGTCCAGGAGTTTGTTCAGGGAATGTTGCTAGTCGTAGGGGACAAAACCTAAACCTCCCCTTCCCCTGCCTATCCTGCATCTCAGCATCTCAGCCATGCCAGGTGGAGAGGGACTGGGAAGGACCAGTTGTGTCTCACAGCCTGGAGGATGCTGTAAAAGGCTGCTCCTGGGTCCCGCAGCATTAAAAGCCAGCTTCTGAGCAAGAACCTTGGTTCGCGCCACTTCCCCGCCAGCACCTAGGTCATTCCTACCGACCGCTAGGTTTGAGGGCCTTGCTGTAGGCAGATTTCCCCAGTGAAGCAGGAGTGGAAGGATGTGGACGGGAGAGACCTATAGGATCCTCCAGGGATGGGAGGGAAGCCCAAGGCTGCCTCTGCCCCACACCCAAATCTGCCACAGTACAATTTCCCTCTGGCTATAGTATGATGTGGACTGCAGACCCTGAACCTAATCCCAGGCTTCGGTTAGGTTTCTATGCATTTCTGATACTATGTCTCCTCCTCCATTCTGTTTTTCTCTCAAATAATAATTTTTTCATTTGGGCTTCTGTTAGCACCTAGTTCCCAGACTCTTATACCCGTTTCTTGTAGAGCAAAGAGCTTTGTGTTGTCTTCTTTCCACTGGCGCAGGACTTGTACACTACGGGAGGCTCCAAGGCTCTTTCTTCCAAGGTGGGAGACAGCCCAGCCAGCACACTGGAGCTAAGTCAGCCTCAGGAAGGAGATGGTTGAGATCAGGAGGCTATGCCTGCCAGAAGGAGTAGGGGGGGCAGGGGCAGGCATGCCAGGGGACAAAGGTCAGGAGACCAGGAGAGAACAGGGGCAGGTAAAGGGCTTCCAGGATCCCTTCTAACCAGCTCAGAAGCCAGAAGAGACCCCAGGCCTCTGAGACAAATGTCAGGGTGGTAGTCAGTAACCCCTTCCATAAAAATCTGAACTAGGTGAGGGAGGGGAACCTCTTTTAGCCAAGATCGCCACACATGTTAAAGAGAAAGCCCTGCTTTACAACTAAATAGGGGCAAGCTAAAGGCAAGGACAACAAAACGCAATGAAAGGGGGACAAACAACTACCCCCTTAAGAAGACCATTCTGCTACACCCCCAGAGGTACTCCCACTGTGGGCCTGTTGCTGGGATGGAGGTGGGATGCTGGGGGAGGGGTTAGAAGATTAAACAGCAAATGGATATCAGATAGTACCATGGAAAATCTCCAAGCTGGCTATAACTCATTTTCATACTTTAGCCTTTCACGGCCAGATTAAAAATAACCCAGCACTGGCCTCCCAGTAAGAGGAGGTCCTCAGCTGTCTGTCACTAACGGCGGGGTTAATGATGAGCCAAGGCTAGGGCTTTCACCTGGCCACAGAGCTAAAGGGTAAACTGGTGAAGTAAATACAAGCAGCCCCTCCTGGCCTCAAATTAAAACTCACGAGAAACTCATGGTAAAAAGGCTACTCCTCCCTGATCACACAAGTCAAAGGTAAAGAGAAGGTAAAAGTTAATTTCCCCATTTTAGGTGCATTCCAAGTTTTAGGCCATCCAGAACAACTCTTAGCAGACTGGAAGGAAGTCTAAGCCAAATGACATTAAGGTTAAATATTCCCTTTTGGCTAGGCCTTAAAAGGTAGAGCATCTAAGGCTCCACGCCATCCTGAGACAAGAACAACCTAATACTCCTTCAATAAAAATCCAGGCTAAGGCCATGGGCACCCAGATCTTTCTCTGGTGTGCCTACACAGTGTCTCACTGGCGTAACCTTTTGCTTTGCACATTATTAAAAATATAACTGTCTATCCCTCATCTTCCAGCTCTTTCCCCCGATACCTTGACATCCATGTTGAGGGCATGCTTCCTCTAACTCCAATAAACTGTCTCTGAGTTCCTTTCTGTGTCTGTTTTTATTTTCTTTTATCTTTGAGACCAAGAATGTGCAAAGGGGACTTGGCTTGCAGTGATGCCGTTTTCTGCTCACGCTGTCTAGAATAGTGGTAGATATGCCAAAGTTTAATGAGGGCATAATAGACACCTTTGCAAGCTTGGGTTACCGGAGCTGCATGCAGGGGCTTTGCGAAGACCAAGTATAATGCCAGGAAGCAGAGGGAGCCAGCACAGAGCTGAAAGCCCCTGCCCAAGGCACCAGCCAGGTGCCGCCATGCAGACTAATGGTCTGATCTGCTAACAGACCTCGTTTTACAAAAGGCCTGTTTCTTATTTGAGATTTCCAAGCTTTTAAAACAGAGGGTAGCTGAGACAAAACCAAGTTTTGGTAAGTGGGTCTCGGAGATGTGTGGGCTAGACAGTCTGGAAGAGAAGAAAGACTTCAGGGAGGGAGTTCATTGGGGCTTGGGGTATGATGCTTCCCTCCCAGGTCAGGAAGACGGAATCACCCCAATAACTGACCAATCACCGGGTCAAGAGGGGCAACTGTACCTTCAGTTCCAGGTCTGTGTAAATCTGTGGCCTCAGGAGGCTGAGGAGATAGGATGCTCGGGAGAACTTGAATCCTGGAACCAAATCAGAAGAACCAGTTACCCCCGATCACCCCTGCCTCTCCCTCCACTTCTCAAGGACTCACCTGGAATGATCTCCTCAGTGACAGCTGCACCCCCAATCACATGGCGCCTCTCAAAGACCACAGTGTTCACCCCAAATCTCTGGAGGTATGCAGCCTGTGGGGACAGAGAGCCTGTTCTTGATCCCTTGTGCTGACAAGGAGCCTCACTGCGGGGTCTACATCACGCCCTTTGGGCTCCAAGTCTAGATGTCCCCTCAGGTCTGGTGCGCCTACATCTGCCCCTCTACTTTCTAGCTGAAGACAACTGTCCTTCCTTTAGGGGAGGTCTGGTGCCTGGGGGACGCACATTGCACTATATACCCTGCCCTGGATGTCTCTCTCCTTCCTCCGGGCTGGAGCAAGCCCCAGTCTTCCTTTCAGACACATCAAAGACAGAACAGTGAGGCTGAGAATGCCAGGCCAGAATCTCCAGGTTCAGTTTCTCATTCTCATTTCTGCTGATCCATGTGCCCCAGTTCTGTCACATGTAAAGACAGAGCTAACGGTTACAGTTCCAGCCTCACAGGGCTGCTGAGGGTTACCTTAGCTGCTCCCTGATAAGTGTTTAAAATATGCTTCATGGCATGTGCCCTGACATCTGTGGCAATGCAATAAAGGGGTGCTGTGGCTGCAGCAAAACTTTATGCAGGGGAAAATGCAGGGTTTCTACAAATCTTTCTTTAGTACTTACTGGGAAATAAATATATATTGAGCTAAGCTAGTCTAGGCCTAGAGGCCTGCAGTGTGTGTGTGTGTGTGTGTGTGTGTGTGTGTGCACTTGCATATGTGTGTGTATCTGTCTTTGCACCACTGATATCAATGTGGCAATATGGTGACATTCACAAATCACATTTTGCAAAGTTCGCTTGGTGACTGCTATGAGGGTGTTCCTAACCTGCCACACTAGGAACAGTTGCTGTGGTGCTCCCTACTTTACAGATGGGAAACTGAGGCTCAGTGAGGGCTGCCAGAGCTGCTGTGTAGAGGTGTAGGAAACATAGTGTCCTGATCTATCTCTCCAATCAAGAACAAAGACGAGCATAGTCTGGCGCTGGGAAGCTGGCCTGGCACACAGAGAGACACATGTTTTTCTCCTTCCTAGAATGACTTCAGTGAACAAGGCTTCTCTGAGGTCATGGAAATGAGCCCAGGCTCCTAGCAAGCCCACTGCACAGCGGTGTGTGAGCACAAAGGAAAACCCTGTACGTCTACGAAATGCCGAACCCTCCCCCCGCTTGGCTACAGATATGCTTTGAGATTCCTGGGTTGTCTTCATTTGCTGATAGCATCCACTGTGGAGCAAACTCTTGTTTTTTTTTTTTTTCAGATCCTTTTCCAGTTCTTTCCAACACTCTCTTCCTTGGAGAGCACAAAATGCCTCCAACTTGGTATGAGAGATCCTTCCAACCCCGGGTTGCTCCAACCTGCTCCTCTATTCTGGTGACATTTCATAAGCCTTAGACCTTCCCACAGGTCATGGGGACCCTTGTCTTGGGGACAGGACAAGGAAAGGAGCCCATGATGTCCCCTCTAATTGGCCCTGGACTGACATTAGACACACAGACAAACTGCCCTTTCCTTCTTTGTCCTGCTCGCTTTTAAAATCCCTCCCCTTCACTGCTGAGCCACCCGCTCAGGGGTCAGTGCAGTGACCAAGGGGTACTCACAGCCACCAGCCCATTGTGCCCTGCAACGAGACAAAACAGAAAAGTGTCGCTAAATGCAAGTTCTTTAAATGCTGAGCCCCCATTCTTACCCCTCAGCCACACATATCTTTTCCCCTGCCCACACTTGGATGTGGGACACCCCGTGGGGGAGTCAGGAAGCCCGCCCCTGGTTCTGTTGACCTTGGCCTGGAAGAAGCTCTGTTTCTTGTTTCAAGGTCAAGGAGAAGTCCACAGTTACTGGACTTTCTGTCCCTAGAGCTAGCTGGTGACTGTGCATGGAACCATCATGGTGTACAGGACTGTGAAGTTGGCCATTTGCTGGCATGTATGGACAGGTGCTATTCAGTCAGCCCTGCGCCATTCAGGGGGACACTTGCTGTCACACATGGCTTGTTTGACACAAGTGTGACTCGTGCCAGGCACGGTTGTGCCCCCAAAGGCTTTATCCACACAGGAATATCTGTCAGTCCCCAGTGTTCTAACAAGGAAAAATGAATAGTTCAAAATTTTAAAAAAGTGAAGTGGTTAGAACATAAAGCTTCCGGGTGTGCACCAGTAACAGGCTGGGCTCCGTTCTGCAGGGTGGGGTGTGTGCTGGAACCTGATTTCTCACGAGCTCCCACTAATTCTCCGTGCAAGTGGTATCAGACTCAGACTACACTGAGCACCCAGGCCCCAGCCTGCTCGGCTCCTCGCTCTCACGTGACAGCTCAGCTGTTGCTGGAGAATCATTCACAGGTGGAGAAAGGGCCCAGAGGGGGTCAGGCAGCTTTGAGACCTCTGGTCATTTTTCTCCTTGGCGATAGATGCCATTCTTAGCCCTTCAGATGTCAGTAGATGTCTGCGATCTCTTAGCACGTACACAGACCCAGTGTGGGCTCAATAAAACTCTGTTCTTCATCTGACAAATGTCTACAAGAAGGGGAGCAGCAATGACCCCCATGATGGATTTCTCCATGGCTGAGTTGATTTTATTTTAAATTTCCTACATGGAGACATGCAGAATTTTAGAGGTCACTGAGCCAACTTCTCATCCATTAATGGAGTCTCTGAAACTGGATTTTTCAAGCCCTTTTGCTCACGATTTACAAGAATAAATGTACCTTACCCCATGACCTGGCATACGGCTAACAAATGTTTTCCCAGAACCAAAGCTCCCTGCCCTGGCATTAACCCATCCTGCGAAAAGTCTATATATGATAATCTATGTTGTTTTATTTTAAGAATGTTAGATACTTGTTGGACTTGTCATTGGTTTGAACCTGCAGTTGGAGATGCCATTCTCTGAATATACATGTAAACTCAAGGCAGTCAGCTCCCGGCTTCATCTGGCGTGGCCCTCAGAGAAGCATTTAACAACCAATGGCTGCCTTCATATGCAATGCCGAGAGTAATGTGCATGCAACATGAAGTCTCCATATGAACGTGGAACCTTGTGGTGCTGAGTGAGGAGAACCAGTACTGTCCGATTGTAACTCAGCCGGTTGCAAGACCATCACACACGTGGTAGCTGTTTGGCTTTTCATCAGTGGCAGCTAGCAATCTTAGAAAACTAGTAAAGGCTTCCCGGCCAACTGGTCCCAGTTCGGCCATGAACGGACAGACTTCAAGTGACAAAGGTCTAAAGGTCAGAATCCTACCTCCAAGTCCGGGCTGACTCTCTTGTCTAGTGACCGGTGTCCTCCTGCTGCAGGATTGCTCATCCCCAGGCCTCGAGGGACGCCCACTCAACAGCTGATGGCCCTTGAGTGGAGCTCGCTGAGCTCGGGCCTTGCTGCTGCCCTTTTCCAGAGTCACTGAGTTGGGTGCTGGGTTGATGTGTTTTCTACTGAGAAACATGGCCTCTAAATCAAGAGCCCTGTCTATGTGATTTTTAAAATTGTGTGAGACATATCTTTATTTTAGTATCGATAATTAACACAAGTCTGTGTATAATAAACATTCATGTGTGCACACAAAGAAGTCAAACCAGGCCAGCATTTACAGCAGTGTGAGAAACCCAGAAAATGTGAACCTGCTATCATCATAGAGCCCAGCCACCAAGAAATGCCTTCAGGCCCCAGGAGTGTGGAAGGAAGACCCTGGGGTGGAATGCAGCCTGGCACTAGGCAGTGCCTCACTGGGTTACCGAGCAGGTCAGTGCTCTGAGCCAAATCAGCAAAATGTTGCCAGACCACCTGGGTAACAGGTGTAACCTCTAAGGGAAGGCATTAGGGGAGAGCACCATCTGTGGATGTACAACAGGGAGTCTGGGACCCCCCTCCCCAAATCCACCCTCTTCTCTTTAGGAATCAGCTCTTTCCTCTTTGGATGACCTCAGCCGTGAGGTGGGTACCAGAACTCAGGGCTGAGAGCGGCTGGATTTCTTTTGCCTGCAGTCCAGGTTCTTTCTTCGTAACCCTTAAGTACCATATGCTTTCTGAGGAAACTCAACGGAGTTCGCTGAGGGAATTCACCCATTTCGCAGGAGATACGGGGAAGCTCCTGAGTTTTAGTCCCCCTGGTCACTCTAGACAAAAAGATTTAAATCCAGAAGGCAAGAACCGTTTTAGACCACACAGCAGGGCCAAGGTGGAACCAGAACCAAGGGCTCCTGACTCCCAGACCAGGGGAACTCCATCACAGTCCCGCTCACTGTGATTCCTGGCCAGGTTGTGCCCACAGACCAGGGGACAGCAGGGGCTCCCTGGAGGCCCCCCAAAGGCCTGCCTTCCCTCCCTGAGCTCTGGCTCTGCCTTCTTTAACTTTACCTGCTCCTATCACCACCGCATCGTACGCGGGCTTCAAGCGTCCCCCGGTTCCCGACTGAGTTCGTTTCCAAGCTGGGCAGGAAGAGGTGCGCAAAGCCCTGTTGAGACCTTGGCGGCTGACAGCCATTTCTGCCCCCAACAATTTGCTTGCAGTCGGCTTTCCAGCTGCCCAGGCAGGGGGCGGGGCTAGGAGTTACAGCCCAGAGTCAGCCTTGGTCTTGGGCCACAGTTCCCTGGGCTCGGGCTTCTGCTGAGTGTGCACGCTAGATTTAAGAAGGGGGCGGGTAGTCTAAGGATCAGCACAGTCTGTGCCACCTCCAGTACCCAAGGGAGCAAGGACCAAAGTGGGAACAATTAGCTAGGTTTTCTGGGGCCCAGTGGTGGGATAGAAGAGGGCTGGAGGGAGGGGTGGAGCCAAAGCAGAGGCCCGCCTTTCCGGTGCCTCCTTCCTCAGCATTCTCAGAGCAGAAGTCTGGGGGCTGGGCAGATATCCCGTGAAGTGGGTGGGGCACAATCAAGTCAGACTTCACTCCTTGCAGGTTGGAGTTCGATCTTGCTAGGTGGCAGGTGCTCCGTGTTGCGGGAGCCTCCCAGCTGCCTTTTCTGTACGACCATGGCCAGGGCCTTTGGCTAACGGAAAAGGCCTCCTACTTTCCTGAGAGCTGTGTGTTCTCTCCTGCACCCTCCACCCTAGGCTGGTATTGCTGGCAATTCTTGAGGGTCGCTCCTTTGAAATTCTGGGACAGTTTTGTCTTGGTAACTTACACGTTTTCCAGGGATTCTCAAGGATTGGAACTCACGCCTGCACATCACCGCAACCAGTGTGCTTCCTTCCTATCCCTGTGTCCTGTCTCGAATGGGGGGAGGGTCCCTTTGACCTGTCCACGCTTCAGGAGTAGTCATCTGCAGGAGAAAGGCACCAGAGGTGGACAGTGCTGCCACCCAAGGGACTCCGACCCACCCCCTGATAGAAGACAGACAGGGGAGGGGCCGTGGCGACAATAAAGTCTGAATTCCAAAATGGCTGGCTTCCACCTTAGCCTTCTGATCAGAAACAAGGAGACAAATTTCTGGCTTAAAACAAGAGCCTGACAAGACTTTTTCTCAGCCAGTAGGACCAGAATGACAAGTTCAAGGCCAGCCCAGGCCTTGTTTACCCCCCAATTGTGGATCTCTCAGCCTCCCTGTCCTGTTTTTTGTCCAAACTGACCAACCTTGAATTGGAGGAAGCCCCCCACCTCAGCATGCTTAAAACCCCCAACTCCTTGGTTGTGGAGGCCCGAAAATGTGAAAATGTGAGCCTATTCCAAAGGAGAGGGAGAGGGAGGGAGGGAGGGAGGGGGGGGGGGGGGAGAGGGAGAGAGAGAGAGAGAGAGAGAGAGAGAGAGAGAGAGAGAGAGAGAGAGAGAGAGAGAGAGAGGACTGACCTCTAGTTCCTTCAAGGTCTTTGTGCTCTGCCTCAAACAAGGTCCCACCTGGCCACCAGCAGAGTGTTCAGCTCCCTCAAGGTTATTGTGAACAGGTGTGGCTAATGGTCAGACCTTGTACTCCTACTCCAGGAATAGAGAAGCAGATCTGTTTCTACCTCAAACAAAAGTCTAAGGAACCAACCAAGGGTCCAATTGTGGGGATAACTTTGGATTCCACCCAGGGAGTGGTTTGCCTACAGAATGTTTTGGTCTAGAGTGTAGGTGTGACTTGTTTTGTTCTAGCAACAGAACGTAGAACAACGTCTGTAGCCTCCAATTGGTGTGTTCATTTCCTTGTATCTTGTTAAACATATGTAAGAGAGGATGTCTTACTCCTACCTTTTGGGGTCAGGGGTATTTTAAGCAGAGGGAAATTAAAAGTGGGTGAATTTTAGTACTCACTGAAATTCCCTCCCGATACTATCCTATATGTTTCTCTATTTTATAATTTTCATTTGTGTCTTCATATTCTTTAATATATTTCTAATGCCCATGCCTCTACCCTGGCAAGAGGTATTTTTGTCGAGGCTGGTCCCTGACACTTGGTTACCTGCCCGCTCTGGTTGCAGAATGTCTTTACTCTGCATGGGCCTTGTTGGGGGTGGGTTTCTTCATCATTAATAAAGTCTTTTTTCAGCGTTGATTCTGTCTGCTACTGTTTGCTATGTTTGAGAATGTATTTCTCTGTTACTACTTGTGGCTCTCAAGATTTTTTCCCCTGCCTTTTACCTCTTTAACTGTTAGAGAAAATAAACCAGATCAAGATTCCTACATGGCAATAGGAACTCTGACAGAAAGGACTGAAACCCAGAGGCTGGGAAGGATGGCTGAGTGAGAGGACGTCGGAGTCCCAGGACTCTCGCGCAGGGCAGTGCCAGCACTCTACACCAGGAACTGCCTATGACACTCCTAGGACCCGAGTCAGAAGCCCCTCCCTCCACAGTTGCCATCAATTAATGGTTGATACATTTAATAAAATAACTGCTTCTGCACTCAACAGCTGGACATCTGCCTTGTCATTATTCACTAAGCAGGTAGGGTAAAGATTTAAATGGTATTTGTATATTAGGTGGTATAAGATATAAAGAAAGAGGGGATTGTGAGGGGGTTAAACGAATGCTACACTTTTTACTTACGGGACTTGAGCATCTGCAGGGTTTGGCATCTCCAGGGGGTCCTGGAACGCACCACACAGAAACCCAGGGATGATAGTGTAGCAAAGTCAGGGGTATTGGTTAAACTAGATACCTCACGCCATGCGGCTACTAAGACTTAAGTGCTGTGGGATAATACTCTTGTACACTGTAAAGATTTGTCACTCAAATTGGTTTAATAAAACGCTGATTGGCCAGTAGCAGGCAGGAAGTATAGTCAGGGTGATCAAACTAAGGATGATGGGAAACAGAGGGGTGGAGTCAAGAGACACTGGCCAGACCTGGAGACAAGATGGGCAGGTCGTATTGAGAAAAAGTATCACCACATAGCAGAGCGTAAATAAGGAATATGGGTTAACTTAAAACGTAAGAGCTAGTTAATAATAAGCCTGAGCTTATTAAGTCGAGCATTTATAAGTAATATTAAACCTCTGTATGGTAATTTGGGGGAGCTGCTGCCCAGTAGTCAGGACCTAGTGGCTCTGAGACAGGAAACTTACATCTACATTTAAAGGAAAACTTGTATAGTTTTAAAGTGGGATTGTAGGGGCTGGGGAGAGATAGCACAGTTGGTCAAGTACTTGCCACAGGGTCCTGATAACCCAGAGCCCACAAAACAAACAAACAAAAATCCCAGCAGTGGCAGCTCTCATGCACTGAAGCCCAGTGCTGAGAATTAAGGGAAGGAGACAGGTAGGTCAGCCAACCTAGCTTTCTGTGAGTTCTAGACCAAGTGAGAGACAAGTCTCAAAATACAAGGTGGATGGCATCTAGGGAACAACTCCCAAGGTTGCTCTCTGGTCTCAAGCACACATATACAACCTGCTCTCCAATAACGTGGACATTCTAAATGGTGGTGGGCTGTAGGCAAGGTTCTTTTTTTTTTTTTTTTTAATATTTGATGCTTTCCTTTTTGCAGCCTTTCAGAAGCATGGTATTAAGGAGGATCATAAAAGAGTCGTCCCTGTTGACAGTGCTTCTGTCACCTTTGGAGGGTTTTATTCTGTGCCTATTGTCCCCAACGCTGATCCCTACATACCAGCTTTTCACTGCAGGAGTTTCAGCCCAAGACTGGCCTGAGGCTGGGCTTGTGCTCACCAGGGCACACGCCCCTTTTCACAGTGCAGGGCACCCTCACTTTCCAGAGTGGATCCTCATCTCTGCCATGAATTGCCCTCCATCCAAGCATTGCCTCTTGGTCTGAGAGGACCAGGATTGTGCCCCAACATTCTGGTGGTGTCCAGTCCTTGTATCTACCCTAAAGTAGGTACCTCTTATTTAGAAGGGAGGGCTGTACCCCCTGGGAAGTTCTCTGGACATACTGCTTTCCTAGGAATGTGTGAAGACCAGCAGAGCCCAGTCTTCATGTTGGCCAAGGGAATGGGAATCTCCAGGTGGTCACAGATCTCAGAATCACTGCCCCATGGCAGGGGAGAACAGGCTTGGGCAGGGTAGGACTTAGCATGGGATTCTCCATGTCATCAGAAAGGCAAGAAACACAGGCACATATGGCTTGGATAATGATGAGAACAGACATTTATTGAGCACCTACTCCGTGTACCTCCTGACCACCCTGAGAGGTAGGTGTTACCAGGTCAAATGTGAAGAAACAGGATTCCCCCAGAGTTGCAGGTTGAGGTAGCCAAGCTTGGCCAGCTGGTGGGAGCGCCTTTTATTTGGAGTAGGAAACAGCTCCCCCACTCAGAATGGCAGAAAGAGGGTGGCTTCACACCGCCTGAGCACTAACAGCTCCCTCACTAACAGGTGCCATCCTGGGCACCCAGAGAGGCAGCTCACCATCTCTGATTGCAGTGTTGGAGGTCAGCAGAAGCGCGGCATCCCCTCCCTTCAGAGAAGGCTTGCTCAGAACCCGTGTGGGAGCATCAGCAGGGGCCTGTGGGAGACCAGGGCTGCTGGGGATGGGAGGAGGCATAGCTGTGGGCAATACCTACAAGCAAGGTTGCTAGGGATCAGGCAGAGGACAGCACCCTTCACCTAGGGCAGAATCACCCGGGAGGCCTCCCCCAGGCGCCGGGCCAGCTGGCTGGCCTGCTGCACCAGCAGGTCAGTGGGGATGACCGACAGGTGCAAGGTCAGGAGCTCGTAGCACCGGATGGGTTCCGAGGGGTGGCTCTTGCTGTAGTAACGCAGGAGCTTCCTGCAAGATATAGGGCAGGACTCAGGCAAGGCCATCCTCAAAGTGCCCACCCCACGGTTCTCACAGAATGACCTAGACTGTGACATCACCTATGGCTCCCAAGCTCCAGCTCTACCTAGGGACACAGTCCCTCTCTTGGGTTCTCTGTCCTTGAACAGTGGTGTTTTAGCTAAAGTTTGTGTGTGTGTGCGCGCGCACATGTGCGCACACATACGTGCATGTAGTAGTGGTATTAGTAGCTTGGGGTCCCTACTGAGGTCCCATGCAGTCAAGACTGTACCAGCAGCAGCACATTAAGGACTTGAGTGTGCTTCTGGGGGGCTCCTCTCTCCATGTGGAATTCCCCCCA